CCCCTACCTAATTCACAGCAGGGAGTCATGCCAGACATCACCCTCCTGAAGGTCTCGGAGAGCCAGAAGGAGAAGATGCTCAGGGACAGCCTGCAGAAACCGGGGCCATTTGCTGCGCTGCTCTGCAAGGCCATGATCCCGGAGTACCTGCTGGCGTTGTGGCAGGGAAACGTGTCCTACCACGGGGGGCCTAATAAGCTCTCCCTGCCCAGGAACCTGCTGATGAGGCTGGAAAAACACCTGCAGGAGGTGTATGAGGAGTTCTCCCCGGAGGATGTCGCCTCTATCCCCGGTTACATTGACCAGTTCTTGGCTTAGGTGCCCTTGGAGGGACAAATGACTGCAGGGTTTTGGGCACTATAATCATGAAGCGGACATTGTGCAATTTTTTGAAAATGGTTCGGACTATATATTGAGGCGCCCAAAGACAGACTAATCATGACACACTTTGCACTGATTCCCCTTTTGTTTGACTTTCCTGTTTACATGTTTTGAAGCACTTTACCCACTGTTAATATTTTCAATCTTCCTGTTTTGTTGCAAATAAATGTTTACATGTTTTAAAGCACTTTAGCTACTGTTAATATTTTAAATATGCCAGTTATGTTGTAAATAAATGTTTAGATATTTAAAACACTTACTGCTTGATCCTTCCCCTGAATCTGTGTCTGGGGTAACGGCGGGGGACGGTTGGTAGGGGATCTCGGTCAGGGTGATGAAGAGCTCCTGGCTGTCGGGGAAATCAGCGGTGCCAGCGCTGTCGACTGCCTCGTCCTCCTCATCTCCTTCTTCATCTTCCCCGTCCGCTAACATGTCGGAGGAACCGGCCGCGGACAATATCCCATCCTCAGAGTCCACGGTCAGGGGTGGGGTAGTGGTGGCGGCCGCACCTAGGATGGAATGCAGTGCCTCGTAGAAACGGGATGTGTGGGGCTGGGATCCAGAGCGTCCGTTTGCCTCTTTGGTCTTCTGGTAGCCTTGTCTCAGCTCCTTGATTTTCACGCGGCACTGCGTTGCATCCCGGCTGTAGCCTCTCTCTGCCATGGCTTTAGAGATCTTCTCATAGGTCTTTGCATTCCGTCTTTTGGAGCGCAGCTCGGAAAGCACGGACTCATCTCCCCACACAGCGATGAGATCCAAGACTTCCCGATCCGTCCATGCTGGGGCCCTCTTTCTATTGGATTGCACGGCCATCTCTGCTGGAGAGCTCTGCATCGTTGCCACTGCTGCCACTGCTGCTGAGCTCGCCACGGTGTCCAAACAGAAACTGCGCTTCAAACTGCCCAGACAGGAAAAGGAATTCAAATTTTCCCGGGGTGTGGCTGGTCAGAGCATCCGAGCTCGGACTGCTGTCCAGAGCGTCAACAGAGTGGTGCACTGTGGGATAGCTCCCGGAGCTATTAGCGTCGATTTCCATCCACACCTAGCCTAATTCGATATGGCCATTTCGAATTTAGCGCTACTCCTCTCGTTGGGGAGGATTACAGAAATCGATTTAAAGAGAGCTCTATGTCGAACTAAATGGCTTCCTGGTGTGGACGGGTGCAGGGTTAATTCGATATAACGGCGCTAAATTCGACATAAAAGCCTAGTGTAGACCAGGCCTCAGGCTGATTGCACAGCTACAGCCCTGTGAGTGACCTCATTGGCTCCAATGAGATGATTTTCAGGCTAAGGGTGCAAGCACGAGATAGGGTATCAGAATCCAGCCCCACGGCCTGTAACAGAGCTAAGATTTCTGCATTAGCCTGGAACCTTAGAGTCCTGTTTGAGAAACATCAAGCTAGTTTTAATAGGATGTCAGCATTTGAACCCAAGTCTTGGAGGAGAAATGCATAAAACAAGCATACAAATTTCAACCGTAAGTGGATACTGTACAAATCACTGCTCACCTCCAGCATATAAAGGGCTTGATTCTCATCCATTAAGTGTAAAATCTAGGAGCTTCAATTCCACACTGACTTCTGTTCTCTGGCAGAAGCACATTAGGCCCATACATCTCGCTCACAGTAGAAGGACACTGAAGTAATGGATATTTCTGAAAGCCATCACCACTCAAAGCGATTCCTGAAACGGCCAGTGAATTTTAACAATGCCCTTCCTAAAAATGTAAAATAAAGTTACAATATAAAAACGTCCGACTCCCATGGACTTTAAAGACGAGGTGGGATATGAAGAGCTGGATTTTCTGCTGCTTTGCGTCATCCTAGGGAAAGTGGGCGTAGAACACTCTCAGATATAGTAGTGTTTTTACACACACACACACACACACCCCCAACATTCTTTCTGCAGAGGGTGTAAATGACTGTGTGAGGTAGGTGCAAAGCCACTGGAGAATCAGGCCCTAGATTGCCATCTCTATGCCTAGATGTGTTCCCACACACAAGCCACGGCATTAATCTAGAGTAAACACCACATGTTCATTTAACACCCTAACAATACATCATATCTTAAATCATATCTTAAAATACAATATCACCAGGAAGAGTCATCTAGAAATGGTGAGAGTCAAGGCTATGTCAATTTTGACTTTGTATGAGTCACCCCCCCACCCCCCCAATGAAGACCCCTTTAGGTTCTTGTTTGAATTTGGGAAGGAAATAATAGTCCAGATTCCCTTTTATGTTCCAGCTGCTTTCAACTGCTCTGAGGATACAAAGCAGCCATAAACCAGCCAGTTAAAATTAGTTGATGGGTCTTTTGTTTTGCTGGAGCAGTATCGAGCAGCCAGAATGCAGTGGTGAGCCTACCCATTTTGTATTGTCCCTTGTAAAATAAATCAATGGAATGAATCCTCCTCTTTAAACTACATTTTCCAATGCAACCTTCATGCTGAAACTGCAATCATAATGAAATTGTGAAGACGGGCTTGTTAACTAAACAGAGCGGAGACTTTACCCCAATCTCTACCACAATGCCACAGACAGTGAACAGGACAGGTCGTCACACCTAGATCAGTTCTTTCGGATAATAGACCAAGCAAACTAGAAGAGTCAGGTTTTCAGACCTCCCCAAGGTGGCTGCAGCTGGGAACAGACATCTGCTGAGGTCCACATTGCAAACCGAATTGAGAAGGGTTAGAGGCAAGGAGAAATTCAATGGTAATTGGGCACCTAGCTCCCTCGAAAGTCCCAGCATAAAAGGACAAAATGGACAGATTTTATGCAGTCCCAGATGATGCACAGAGAAGTCACTGCACCTAAGAAAGGGGAATTAGAATTCTAGAGTCCCATAGAAACTGTCCTCCAGACAGTTCTCCACCTTCTTGAAACTATTCGTGCTTCCAGTCACCAGTGATCATTAAACAAAAGGCCAACTGCAATACCCTTACTCACACTGAGTAGTGCTCACCATCTGTGGCATTATTCATGAGGTTAGGTACAATGCAGATCAGAGTCACACAATCTGGCTTACAGTGGAATCAAATGCCCCCAGTCTCTGCTGGAAAGTATATGGCCAACAAGGTCGCATTTTCTGGCACTGCCCACAATTCCAAGAAGGTCCATGCTTATTCCCACGTCAGCCTGCAGAATACGATACACAAGAAGATTTTTTTCTTCTAGGAAATGCCATCCATACCCTTTAAAATACCGAATGACATCTTAACAGTAGCTGCTAGGGAAATGTATTGCCTTATTGGGACTCAAGCAGTCCTATCATTCAAATGTGGCTTCCTAAATGCAAGGGACCAGATTCTCCCCTGGTTTAAATCAGCACATCTTCTTTGAGTTGAATGGAACTACACCCATCTACACCAGCTGAAGATCTGGCCCAAGATACAGAACAGACCAGCATTCAAATCAGACACACCCAGGACCAGTTCAGAGCGGAGCCTTAACAGAGCTACTATTCACCACTACAGAGACACAGCTTTGGCCTTGAACTGCAGAAACATCCCAACATTCCAGGGGAATATGACATAGCCATGCCAACATCTGAATTGTTGACTCATGTAGCATGATGCCACTCTAGGTTCTATATATAGATTGGACCCTGTCACCCAAGTGTGTCTTCCTGCTACTTTTTCATCACTTGATTTATTGCACCAACTACCAGCTTGGCTTTCTATTATAAGCCATGCTGGATCGTCAATATCCCTATTTCCCCCCCATCATTTATTTGCATATTTGGAATTCCTTCCTGCTTACTCAGTAGTGAATCTTCTGGTGAGCTTCCCTTTGAAACACTCACACAAATGATAGGAGAATATTCGAGGGAAGCATGCAATAAATGGAATTTTGTACAACATTCTGTCTGGCTATTGTACAAAGGAGGCTTATTGTAACAGTGTTTACAATATGAAATTGAAAGGAATAAACATGAATTTGGAGCAGGGACTGTCAGATGTGTTTGTGTGCATGCATGCACAGCACCTGACAGTGCAGACCCTGTGTGCAACCATATTACAAACAAACAAATCCTTTTTGTCCCTCCTCCCCCATTATACAGCTGCATGCAGCAGCGGTCACTGGTTCACAAGAATGTGGGGAATGCCTGTCAAAGGCCATCCTTCCTGGAGCTCTGGAGAGAATACATCAGGGAGGTAGATGAAGGATTCAGTGGACACCAGACTCTGGTTGCTGTTGTGTTAGAGTTGTGACAAGTTTATGTAATGCGCACCCATTCTGTGTAGTGCTCTGTCCCCCTCTAGTGATGGATGAGACAAAATTATGGACTCAACTCAGGCAGTAGAGATTCATTCTTTAAGATGCAGAAGTCACAGGTTCGCTCCCCACTGTCTGTGACCCTCACTGAAGTGCAGCATTACAAGTAGCAGCCCATATGGGGTTTTGAAGCTGCGGGACTTCAGAAACTCAAGATGAGCTTTCCTAGCCAGGGGGAGCATGTAACGCACACCCAGTGGATGCAAGCTCGTTTGTTTCAACGCGAGGAATAGCACAGGACCCAAGATTTGAAGTAAACCCTAGCCATGGGCTTGCAGGAAGTGCACCTTATAGGAAAGGAATGGGAAATCAAGTCAAATAATTATAAATTCCTACCATATATCATCATCATGCTGGTTTCTGGCTCACCCCTTCCCCCTCCATGTGTTGATGCTACAGTCCCCACTTCAGCAGCTGCCAGGTCCTCTTAGAGAGCTGACATTTCCATTCCTGACATTTTCCGCGGCTCCATCTCGGAATTAATGGCCGGATATTAACAGCAATGGGGCTGTTTATCATAATTAGTCTCATGAAGCTACTAAGCATTCAGCTATTTTTCATCAGTGCTGAGTTAATAAACTGCAAAATCCCAGGAACGAGACGGACAATTTATTTACTGATTGATTGATTTTGGTCTGTCACATTTTGTCTTTAAAGTTTGCCAGGCCAAGCAGTGCTCCTTGGAGAGGACAACAAGGCAATCTGAACTCAGGCAAACATGCTGCCACCAAGAAGCCCTGGTGCCAGCTGATATATTGAGGAGACATTTGTTATGCCGACATCTTCTGTAACACATACACCCCCCCCACACACACACACACTCAAGCTAAAGTAAGTGACAAGTCACAATTAGCTGTCGAAGCATTTCAGGCCAGCCTCAGCAGCCACCAGATAGTGCAAAGAAAGGAAACTCAATCCCATTTCCCAACTCTGGTGAGTTTGGGCACCATTTCCCCCAAAGGGAGATAGCCCAGGAGCTGTACTTTCCACGGTTTGTCATTTGGCCATGTGTTCTGGGTGATGCTTGTGCAATGCTAAAGAGGGATACCACAGCTAACTTGGGATATATGCCTAGGAGCAAGCAGAAGCTGTGCTCCTCTGTACCCCTATCTGGCAATCTAGCTAGGAGTCCTGTGAAGTATCATGCCACTGTCTGCTTTTCTCTCACCCAAAGTTCCAGAGTCCCATATTATCCACAGGTGGCAATGGGGTGGAGGGGAGAGAGAATGGCTAAGTCTGCTAAATTAGCAAGATCAGACTCTTGCCCCTCAGGGCTAGTAAGCTCTCCCCACTGGCTTTTGGGTCCATTATCAGCACTTTGCCTCACAAGAGCAAGGTGACTGTCACCCTAAAGAAGCAGTGATTAGACCCTTCAAGTCTAATGAAGTCAATGGAGACTTTTATTGGAGTCAGTGGGAATGGAATTGGAGCATCCTTGAGAAAACATCCTTTAACACCCTCCATTTCCTGTCCTGTTTCCTTTCTGGGGAGAAGGGTACCAAGACCGTGCTGGCAAGTCAGATCCAAGGACAACCTGATTCCTCTAGCTTCCTGGGTGTGCATTAATGGCTTTAGACTTGGGGCATGACGACTGCACTTTATTCTATGGAGATGATCAAGCCAAGCTATGGACAGAGGTCAAGTCTCCATGCTATTTTAGTAGCTCTTTCATCAGCCTCTGGCATGAACCACCATGTAGCCTGTGGGATCAGACAGGCTTGCTTTAAAGAAGATGGCTCCATTCATTCCTTTCTCCTTATCTCCCAGCTTTCCAATAATGGCATGTGTAGAATTACACATTCAGACAGTCCATATGTTTTGTTCTAAGTGAACCACCCAGACCACGTCCCAATAGAATGGCTCGTTCATTATAAGAACTTAAGCGTCCCTTCTGTCTGCACAGAGTGCATTTCAGAACTCCAGTACTTACTGCACCATGCAACTTTCCTCCACCCAGCATCTGAGTCCAGACCTGCATCAGCCCCTTCTATTCCTGACCTGATCTCCCCTGCCACAGGCAGTAAGTCTAATGTCCCTTAATTCCTCACATGTACACCGTTTGGTACTCCAGGCCTGAGTTTCCACCCAGCTCCACAAATGCACCTCAGTCCTGATCTTGGGCATCACTTACAGTTCCAGTCCTGGGCTCCCTGTCAGAAAATATGGTGCAGTGGGTAGGGGACTAGCCAAGGATTCCCTGTTCTGCCACAGGCTTGTTGTGTGACCATGGGCAAGTCACAGTCCGTGCATTTCCCCTCATCTGTACAATGGAGCTAATAGCACTGCCCTGCCCCCGAGGAGTGCTGTGAGGATAAATACATTAAGGACCAAGGCACTCCAACACTATGGTGCGGGGGCCCATATAAGTACCTTAGATAGGTAGATATAGCTCTAACAATGCACCTCAGTCCTAACCTGCAACCTAGTCAAGGAGATGATCAAGAGCTTTCTATCCCAAACGTCAAACATTTGTGTTTGAATAGCATGTTCTTCTGCCAATGTGACACTAGTAATTAAAGCCAGATGGGGACTTGCTTATAGTCCGACACTGGGCCCACATGCTGATGGGTGACATTTTTTAAACAAGAGGCCAACCACCAGCAGGAAGATCAGAAAAGCCAAGTGCAATTAAAAAAAAACCAACCAACCAAAAAAACCACAACCCTTAATTTCCAGATACACCGCCCAGCATATTCCAGGTGAGAACCAAATGCTTCCGACTGCAGTGTTTGGCAGAATGAGCACAGCGCATAGTCTGTGCTCCAAGCCAGTGTGGCTGAACCCGAGATTTCCCTTGATACAGCATTACAATGCACAATGATTTGGTGTCATCACCTGCAAGGATCATAAGGAAAACCACAGAACCCAATCCTCGCTCACCTGAGAAAACCTATTGACACAGATGGAGTATTGGCATAAGCAAGGAGTACTTGTGAGAGTATGTGTTTCACTTCATTCTGTACAAAGGTACAGTGACCTAATGCTCATCGAAAGAGTTAAGGATGGAATACAGAGTAATATACAAATGGCTGAAATATTCTTTTTTAAAGCAAAAATAATACTGAGAAGACATTTCTACAAGGCCTATTGATAAGAGCAGTTAAGGGAACACATGAAAATGAAAAAACATGTTACTCAGTCTAATTCTGGATGATGTAGGATGTTAGGAATTAGACACATATAGGGCCAGATTCTGATCTCCTTAGTCACGTTGGATAGTACTTTACCCTACCAGCAGCCGTCCACTGCAAAAGGACTAACGTGACATAAGAGCTTGTCTACAAGGAACATTATTGTGTGGCAAGCTAGCTCCCTGTAGATTCACACCCTAGCTTGCTGTGCATCCTGTCCTGAGTAGATAAATCCTAAAAGGCCACTTTGCATGGGGAGGCAAATCAGTATTTGGCCCTCAGTGTATCACTGGCAATGGTATTTGAAGAGTTACGGAGAACTGGGAAGGCCCAAGAAGATTAGAGAAGAGTGAATGCAGTATCCATAAACAGACTAGGCAAGAAGGGGTAGTTACTGTTTGGCAAATCTGACTCCTGCCCCCAGTATTTGGTCTGGTTTCTTCCTAAGAAGGAAATCTATAACCTTCCAGAAGGTAACACACAACCATACGTGATAAGCAAGAGTTTATAAAGCATGAGTCTTGCAAGACATGTGATTGCCTTTTATTGGCTAGAACTACACAAGGATGGAGTGAAGTGAAAACAGAAGTCACCATATACTTGTATTAGCATAACACATGCTAATGTCTCACCAAATCTTACTCTCACAGGACTGGTCTTACATGGCATGGAGCACCCTCAGCTCCTACTGAAGGTTGCGGCAGCCAAGGGTGCTCAGCACCTCACAGGACCAGGCCCAGAGGAAATGCAAGTCAATGTGGATGCAAACATTGGCACTTTAATTGGAAAGCAGCTGAAGGAACAGAAATTGGCAATGCCAGTCCAAATGGGGAGGGGCAGTGGAGGTGCATAGCTTGGTACCACTGGATTTGGGGCTCAGTCCCATCTTATTTAGCATCTTCACTATAGGTCTGGAAGAAAAACTGCAAGTTAATGAAATTCACTCAGCTAGCAAGGGGTGTAACGGGGGGGGGGGGGGGGAACAGAGTCTCCCTATGGGCCTGCTCCAAAGCCCATCAAACTGGGCACTACTTATTACACTAAACAAGATCATCTCACTGTCACCTTGTGCTCTCCTGTCATGGGTTCACTCACCACTGCAGCACCTCCTGCTGGCTGTCATAGGAAGTAGCTCTGTTAGACAGTGTGCCCTCTCCCTGCCTCGCCCATCATTGTCACTGCCTGCAGACCCGCCTCAGTCCAAATACTGCAGCGTCCTCTGCCTGACTTGACCCTCTGGTCATGTCACTGTGTTTTCCCCCCTGGGGGAGGGGGGGCTCTCAGTTCTAGAATCTAGCCACTTCCCCAGTGGTGAGGGGGGCCCACCCACTACTCCAGGTCCCAGCCCAGGGACCCTGTAGCTAGCAGCCTCCCACTGCCTCTCCTTAACTACTCCACCAGTTCTGCTTCAAATTCCCAGGCCACTTCCCCATGGCCCCAGCACCTTTTTCACCCTCCTCCCAGGGCCTCAAGCCTGGAAGTCTCAGGAGCCAGCCAGGAACTCTCTAGCTCCCCAGTCCCTGCTAGCAGCTGCCCTGTCTGAGGTGCTACCCTCCTGCAGTCCTCTAGGAGCCCAGTCCTCTCCCTTGAGCTTCCTGCAGTAACTGACCTAATCTGCTCTGCAGCTCCCATTTATATGGACCTGCTGGGTCCTGATTCGCTGTTCCTCACAGCCCCTCTCCTATTGGCTGCTTCCCACGCAGCCTCCCCAGGGCTCTATTAACCCCTTCTCTGCCAGTGTGGGATGGATGCCCCATCACATCTCCCCCATCTCTTTGGTGGATCTACTTGTTCTCTTTCATCTTAGACTAAGATTGTGAACTATTTGGGGCAGGGACTGTCTTCTCAGGGGTTGTATTTTATATTTTAGAGCTGACCAGAGGACGACAATTCAGTTTCGCAGCAACTTTCTACATGGGAACAAAACCATTCAAACATTTTCACAAAGTGAAATTCTGCTAAAATGTTCAGTTATAGGACTGAAAATCTGACCTTTCTGATTTGGGTCTCTCTCCTCTAGAAATTACCCTCGCCTTGATACATTTTGTGGAGTCATATTGTTTTCAACAAAATGAGCCATTTTCCACACACACCACACACATATGTAGCCACTGAAATTGTAATACAGACAAACAACAGTGACAATCTGCAAACAGAAGTGAGAGCTTAGCCCATCTAATAAATTAGGCACAATTTAGGCAACACTAATAAAGAGACTATTGCAGGTAATACACTGAGGAAAGCAAGATCCACAAATTCTACAGCTCTCTCCAATTCAGTCTCTCTGTAAGCCCCCTCTTCTTCACTGTGTCCTTATTCTCCCAGCTATC